GCGATTGCAGGCTGGATCTGGAGCTGCTCCTGGCCCTGAGGCTGTACAGACCGGGAGCAGCAGCAGCTGCTGCCCAAAGCAGCACATGAGACCTGGAGACAAGTGAGATTTAAATCCTCCTCCTTCGACACAGCGTGAATCATCTCCTTGGCACCATCAGGTTTGCTGAAGTCGAGGCAGTTTACTAAAGGATTTATTCCCATTCACAAGGGTTGTGGTGTGGGGTTTTTTTTGGGTTTGTTTCTTTTTGTTTATTTGGGGGTTTTGGGGTTGGTTTGTTTTGGTTTTCTGACCACTAAAGGATTTATTCCCATTCACAAGGGTTGTGGTGTGGGGGTTTTTTTTGGGTTTGTTTCTTTCTGTTTATTTGGGGGTTTGGGGGTTGGTTTGTTTTGGTTTTCGGGCTTTTTTTGTTTGGTTTTATTTTTTTGTGTATTTTTGTGTGTTGTGTTCTGTTTGGTTTTGGGGTGGGTTTTTTTTTGTTTGTTTTTTGCTTTTTTGTTTTGTGGTGGGTTTTTGTTTTTTTTTTTTTTGTTTTTATTTTGTTTGTTTTAAGGACAATTTATTTTTCCAGCCCTCCAAACGGAGCAGGTATTGAGTGAACTCTCCAAGCTGTGTGGGAGAGCCCCTGGACTGCTGAGAGTGGGCACTGAGCTGAACCTGCTGCCAACACGATGCCCCTCTCTAAGGGGCTGGGAAAACTGGGAAAAATGCCCAATCTCCTGGCTCAGACCTGTGATTTAGCTGTTTGACCGTGATTCTTTGTCGACACCAAAAAATATGTTATTCTGCGCAGGGATGAGTTAAGGGATGTGTTACAGTCTCGGTGGGGTCAGTGCTCCAGCTGCTCACACACAGAGCTGGTTTAAAAATGCTCTGATAATGTGAATTTCTCTTCCCGGGTACTCAGGGGAAAGAGTTTATTTTCCGTCTCAGCATATTCATCTAGCCTCCCTTAGAATAATTTCTATTTCATTTGAGGTTCTAGCAGCTCCTCCATGAGAGGCAGAGGAACTCACCCGTTTTCCTCAGCCCAGAGTGTGCAGGACAAGGGGAGATGTGGCTGATGGGCTGCTCGGGATGATCCTGGCTCCAAATGTTTTTTGGTTTTTTTTTTTTTTTTTGTGCATGAAACGCTGGAGCGGCAGCGTTTAAAGTGACTGCAGGAGACAGGGAGAGATCTTCGAGTGATGTATTCTGTGTCACCTTGCTGAACCTTGATTGATGAACTTTCACAAATGCGTTGCCGGTGCTTGATCTGCTGGGAGAAATCTCTGCTTCCCTTCTCTGCGTCAAAACGCCGCGTTAATTTCGTGTTTTGGGCAATAACAAACCACTCAGGAATGAAAAATCGGACTCCAGCCTGAAAGCCCATCCCTTTCTCGCTCTGGAGTGGCATTTTAAAGGTGTTGATTCTTCTTAATAAACCCCGTTAACAAGAAATCACTTACTGCTGATACTGATCTAAACTGATGTCAGTGAGATGAATTAGGGGCCGGGAGAGAGGGTTGTTGATCTGTTGTTTTCCTGCCGAGCTTCCCAGGAACACTGAAACACTTAATTCCTGCCAGGACCCTATCTTGTTTTCGGACTCCAGAGAATAACTTCCGACGTGAAACCTCCTTGAACTTAAGGAATAAAATTCTGGCACTCTAGGAACCGCACGGGTGTTTTTTGGGGAAAAAAACAATTACTTCAGTTCCTACAAAACTGCCACAGGCAAGGGATTTGGTATCAGTCCCTTACAGCTGACAACTTGTTCCTGTACAAATTCTGTGGATTCCAAAGGGTTTGGATAAAGTTGCCATGTGCAGTTTGTCTCGAGGAGACTGAGCTGCTCTCATCCTGTCACCTTCAGGTGACACTGAATTCTGACAGACACTGAATTCTCAAAAAAAACCACAAAACTGGGTTTGAACGTGAATGCCAGTGCCAGGCTGCGTAATCCCAAAAAAAACAAACAACGACAACAACAAAAAAACCCCCACCAAACAGACAAACAAAAAACAAAACAAACAAACAAACAAAAAAACCTAAAAAACCCCCAAACAAACAAACAAAAAAAAAAAACCCACCAAAAACCGAGGGAAGAGTAAGATCAAATCCAAGTGCAAATCTATTAATCTTATTAAAAGCTCTTTCCCTACACCCCTTAGCCTGTCCCCAGGCACTGGAGGATCTCTAATTTCAGATTCCCTGGATCCTGCACTTCCCTGTGGATCAGCCTTTCCTAGGCACAGGTTTTAGTGCTGCTCTAGAGATGGGAAGCACTCCAGGCTCAGGCAGGACCAGGCCAGGTTTGCTTGGTGCAGTTTTCCTGAGCCTTTCGGAGGGCTGGGCTCAGAGAGGCACAGCCCAGCTGCTCCTGCAAGTCCTGGGGGGACCTTTTGCCCCCGCCTGACCCTGTGGGCTGGGCTGGCGTGGAGCTGCAGCTGGAAATGAGGCTGAGCTGGAGGGCAGGAATAGCAGGAATGGGGTCTGGGAGCACAGGGAGCCCCCTTGGCCGGGGTCGGTGCTGGGGGTTCTGGTGCCTTGGGAAGGCTGGCCTAGAACAGAGACTAGATGGAGCTAAGGAATAAAGTGGGAAGTGATTAAGAGGCTTTAATGGATCCACCTTGGGCAGCACAACCCAAAATGGTCCCAAAATGGATAACCTGTCACGGGGTCTCTCCCTGGGATCAGCTCTGCTCCATGTGCACATTGCAGTTCAGTGTCCAATTCCAGCTCAGCCCCTGCACTCCCATCCTGCTTGTTTTTCTCTCTCCAGCCCACGGGGTTTGTGCTCTTGGGCTGAGATTTGGATCATTTGTCCTTGGTGCCCAGCTGGAGCAGGAATTTTGTCTCCCTGGTCTGTGCACAGAGCTCACCATCCCCTAAAATGAAGCTCAAACCCACACACCAAAGCAGCACAGAATCTGAAAAATAGAAAAGCTCAAACCTGAGGCATCAGGTCATTCCTCTTGCACTTCCCATTCATCCAGCTAATGGAAGGTCTTTAACCGAGGCTGCTGTGCCCCAGCCAGCTGTGCCGGTGTCCCCTCCTAAATCACTTTCTGAGCCGGCTCCAAGGCTCCGGCTGCTGCTCCAAACCCGTCTCACCCTGCCCTGCATCTGCTCGTGATGCAATTCCCGCAGGAGCAGGGAGCCTGGGGAGGAGGGGAGTGTGTGAGCTGTGGGACATTCATCCCTGCTGAAACTGAGCACGGTGCAGCCCTGGAAATCAGACCCAAAGCTGGTGCCCAGAGCAGCCACAGCAGGGACAATCCCACTGGAGAGTGTGATTTCTTGATAGCTGTAGCTCTGAGTTATTATGGGAGGAAAACAAGCATGTTTGGAGAAAATAACAGCGTCTGAGGAAAGGAAGGGATGTGAGGAGTGTGTGAGAAGGGTTCTGTGTTGATGTGGGGAGTTACTTTTTCCTGTGGCTTTTTCTGAAGTTTCACTGCTGTCTGTCTTGTTTGGCCACCCAAATAAGGGCCCTGCTTAGGGCTGATTTCTGAAAGTTTAAGTTTTAGCTAACTCTCAATACCTGCTCCCTGTTAACTCAGGGCTTGTCCTTCTTTTGAGGGCTCCCTGCGTGCTCTGACCCTGGCCAGGCTCTGCAGTGGTGACAGCAGGAGTGGCACGGTGGCACCACTGTGACCATTTGACAGCTCAGGCAAGCAGTGGCCCCAAACTGTGACTGCCCCCACCATTCATCAGTTTAAACCCAGCTTTCCCCTGCCCCACTCCAGTCTCTTCCCAGAGTTCTTGGGACACCTTGGCTCTTTTCAGGCAGGGCATTTCCCGTTTGCTCTGCTGGATCCACCTGGATCCTGTGTCCTCCTAAGGCAAAGCCCACATGGAGCCCTGGAGATGGTTCCAAACGAGGGGCAGTGGCCTTTGCTTCCTTCTGGCCTGCCCAGGTGCCCTGTCCCCCTGCTTCAGGCTGGCAGACTCGGGGCCCCTTTGTCACAGACCCCACGTCCCGGTGGCTCTGTGGGGTGAGTCTCCCGAGGCAGATTCCCCTCGGGATGAGGCTGAAGGTCCCTGTTTGCCCAGCCCTGAGCCCCAGACAGGTGTCTGCCCTGCCCTCTGCATTAGGGGTCGGTGGGCAGCGCCCAGCGCTCCTCTGGCAGGGGCTGGAGGGAGCTGGGAGCTCCTTATCTGTGCAATCCTGCCTCGGGGGCTGTGTGGGGCTGGGAGCGAGGGAGAGAGGCTGCAGGCAGCTTCCATTCCCCGGCAGCCTTTCATCCTCTGTCCCAGGGCCACAGCCACCCTGTCTCCATCCCTGTTTACTGATGGGGCCGATAGGGCCGGGACAGGAGGGGGTGCAGGTCCCCCTAATCGCCCTGTCACCGGCCGGACAGCCTCAGACACTCTCAGAGGATGTTGTGACTGCGCTGAATTACAATGTTTGTTGTTTCTCACTCCCAATAATTGACATTTGATAGCGACTACCGTAAAAGCGGCCGAGGGGCTGGGGCTGCGGCAGAGAGGCAGGAGCCGGGTGCTGGGGAGCCTCGCTCGCTGTCCCTGGGCATTTGGGGACAGCCGGGGGGTCATTCGAGCCCCTCCCCATGGGGACTGGATCTGCAGGGGCTGTGAAAACCTCCCGCGGATGGGCCGGGGGCAGTTTGGGGGCTTTGGGTTATGACTTGGGCTGTCGGTACTTGTTTTTCAGCGATTTCTGTGCAGGGAATAATAAATCAGCCCCGCGCTCCCGGAGACTGGGAACGATGGGGTCGGTCCCGATCCCAGCCCGGGGACACGGGCCGGTGCTTAGCCGGGCTGGGAGCTCGAAAAACGACTTTAAAATAATTTTTAAAACTCCTTAAAATATAAACACCGTTTGCAGGCGGCCAAACGGGAATGCCGAGCGCACGGGAGGGCCGCACGAACCCGGGGGGACCGGCAGGGAAAGGCTCCCGGAGCGGGCAGGCAGCGGGGGCGGCCCGGGGGAGCCCCGGGATGGAGACCCCGACCCCCCCGGGATGCGCAAGAACGCCAGGGAGTCCAGGTTCAGCCACTCTCTTTAATGACAACTCGCTGATCTCCGTCAGCTTGTACAGAAAAGGGCAACACGTTCCAAGGGGCGGACAGTGCATTTCCATGCTAACTCACGTTTTAGTGCAGAACCCTACGGGACCTGGCGGGCCGGAGTGTCCGTGTCCCTCGGGAGTCTGTCTGTCCTCATCCCTGCCCAGCCTCGCAAGGGACACCTGGGGGTGCCGAGATGCCGAACTGACCGAACAGCGGGGACCGTACGGGAAGTGCAAAAATTAAATGTGGATGTCAATAATAATTAGTATAGAGTAAAAGTTTAAAAAAAAAAAAGGAGGGAGTTGCAGGGCTTGGCTGGGTGTTGTTGGGAACAAGTCACGCGAATTACCGGCTAGTTTGTAGGAAGGAAGGAGGGGAATTATCGGGGTGAAGAGCCGGGTGGAAGGCAGCGAGAGGGGCCGGGAAATGCGGGCATCCCCCGCCGGTGCTTGCCTGGCCCCGCACGAAACACCGCAAACACCCAAACCCAGCCCGTCCATGGGCACCACACCGCTGAGATCCGCCGGGATGCCCCGCTGAGCCAGCCCCGCAGGCTGGCAGTGTCCCGATCCCGCCGGCAGTGTCCCGATGCCGCCGGCAGTGTCCCGATCCCGCTGGCAGTGTCCCGATCCCGCCGGCAGTGTCCCGATGCCGCTGGCACGGGCGGCTCTACCAGGCTCGGATGCCGTGCAGGGTGGAGATGCCCGCGTTGCCCTGCGGGATGGGCGTTTGCACGGAGTTCAAGTCCCCCACGCTGAAGTTCATGAAGTTGTTGGCGGGTGCCGAGGGCTGCACGGGCTGCATGGAGGGGTAGCTGCAGTTGTAGTTGGCGTTGCAGGCGGGGCTGTTGTAGTTGCTGTACGCGGGGTAGGCGTTGTAGCTGTAGGGGTTAATGCTGACATTGTAGGGCGAGCTGTAGGGGGAAGATTCCCCCAGGCAGGGCTTCCCATCGCGCACCAACACCGGCACGGCGATCCGCCGCGGGGGAGGGATCCCCACCATTTCCAGCGTCTGATCCTGTCTCTGCCTTTTGCATTTGTACCTTCGATTCTGGAACCAAATTTTCACCTGGGTGGAGGTGAGCTTTAGGACGTTGGCTAGATGGTCCCTCTCCGGGGCCGAGAGGTATTTCTGCTGCTTGAACCTTCTCTCCAGTTCGTACACTTGGGCTTGAGAAAAGAGGACGCGAGGTTTCCTCCTTTTCCTCTGTCTGGGACGCTCGGGATCTTCCAGGTCTCTTTTCTCCTGCTCCAGGCTCTTGTGTAGGGAACACAGCTCTGCAGCAAAATAAACGGGAGAAGGGAAAACAGCGGAAGGAGAAAATTGTGCAAAAAATTATAAATCAGTATTTAATAAAGAGGATACAACGTGAGCGAGCCGTGGCTCTTCCTCGGCCTCGCAGGCCGCTGTGGCCGCCCGCTCCTGCCCCGCTCTTTAGGTACCTGTGCAGCAAATTTTTCGTCTTTTTTGTTTGAAAACAACTCTGCCCCGTGCACTGATGTGCGTCTCGCCCGCCTGTGCCCCAGCCTGGATTTATCACTCGCAGCTTTGTGCCGAAACCCACCCCGGCCTCCAAGCGAGTCAGGAGTCGCATTTGTCACCTGGTTTCTGTCCAAACTCGAGGCCTCGCGTGTCACCCTGCAGCTCTGTCCGTCCCGTTGGGGTCTCCGGGCCGGGGTCAGCGGGACCCTCCCCGCGGTGGGGTCAGCCCCGCTCCCGCAGGGCCGGGACGGGATAAAGATGCTGCGGCTCACCGAGCTCAGCCCCGAGCTGTCCCCTGTCCCCCGCAGTCCCGCGCTGTCCCCTGTCCCCCATAGTCCCGCGCTGTCCCCCGCAGTCCCGCGCTGTCCCCTGTCCCCCGCATCCCCGCACTGTCCCCTGTCCCCCGCAGTCCTGCGCTGTCCCCTGTCCCCCGTAGTCCCGCGCTGTCCCCCGCAGCCCCGCACTGTCCCCTGTCCCCCGCAGCCCTGGGGACCCCCGGCAGAGCACCCCACCCCGCAGGCGGATCCCCATCGAGCCCCTCGCAGCAGCGCTTGTCTTTACCTTTCTTGTCCGCCTTGGCCTCCTTGGCCGAGTCCATCTCCACGTAGCTTTTCCCGTAGTAGGAGCCGGGGAAGGCGGCCGCGGTTTTTCCGGGGGGCGGCTCGGGCAGCTCCTCCCGCAGCTCGGCCAGGGCCGGGGGCTCGGCGCTGAACGCCTCCTGCTTGAAGCTGGCCAGCATGCAGGACGGGGAGGCCAGCGAGGCCAGCTCCATGGAGCCCAGGCCGCTCTGCTGCTGCTGCTCCAGGTTCAGAATATCCTTCACCGAGAAGGGCGTCGTTGTCACAGGGCTAGGAAACATTGCGGAGGACAGCGGGGCAGCGGCCGCAGCCCAGGGTCATGGAAAAGTAGGTGGGGAGCAGGCAAGGTGGAGCAGCGCTGGAGCGTGGGCTCCCGGAGGGGGCACATAGCATTCCCGAGAGTAGCCCTGCCTTGTGCACTGGGCCAGGTAGGAGCGGACCATAAGGCCAGGGAAGGAGGGACTAGGCAGTTTTTGGGTGACTTTAGCTTTCTATTGGCCAACATTGCGGTGATGGTATGAGAGATGCAAAGTTCCATGTCACCTAATATAGTAATACATCTCAAAAACAGCTCCGCTCTTTTAAAGGGGCGGCACTGCATTTGTCCAGCTTTGCAGCGGAGGGGTTGTTCATCTATTTGAAACAAAAAAAAAAAGAAAAAAAAACAAAAAAAAAAAAAACCCACCAAAAAAAAATGGCCTAATGCGTACAAAGTCACTATCTGATGCTATCTATCATACGGTCAGATTAAATAAACAGGCCGGGAGGAAACCATCAAGCAAATATGTGCTGATTTAATTTTTTTTTTTTTTTTTTTTTTAAACGAGAGAACGGAGGTTTCGTTTTTAGTATTCTGCAATATCCGAATGGCAGGAACTAAAAAACGGGAGTTCACTGCTGTGTGAAGCGCGCTCAAGGGGAAATCCGCGCTCAGGGTTTATACAGAATTTCTGAAGCAGCACAGTGACTGCAAAGTCCAGCTGACAGACCCTGAGCAGCCGCTGCCTGGCTTTGGAGAGGGAAATGCCGATTGGGTTTTCCTCTCGTTTGTTTGTAAAGCTTTCAAACAAAAAATGCAACACTGTCTGGGGGGGAAAAAAAAATTAAAGAATCAAAACAAGCGCGGGTGAAGATGTTGCAAAATACAAGGGGTAAGAGAGGAGTAAGCAAAGCAAGGGGCTGCGGGGGCTGTCCCGGCCGGGTCCCGCAGCTCGGGTGGGTGCGTGGTCCCCCGTTAATGCGGGAGAGGTGGGGTTCATTCATTTAACTCGCGTGGAGCCGCTCAAATAAACCTTAGCTGCAAAGTCGCAGGTTGCGGAGGGGCGGTTCAGGGCTTTGTGTGTTAGGGGGGAGAGGAAAAAAATAGAAATAAATAAAGAATCTCCTTTGGCGCTCCAGCGCCCGGCTGAGAGAGGCACGGAATGGGCTCGGTGGGAGCAGAGCAGAGAAACCCTAAAGGGCTGCGGTGAGTTTGGGGGGCTCTCGGCTGAGCCCCGCTCTCGGGAGCGGCGGGGTCACAGCTGTGAAAATCCTTTCTCCTCCCGCAACAGGGACCCTCCGGGCCGGGTGGAAAGGTGAGCGCCTGCCCACCCCCACCAGGACGAACCAGCAGCTGCCCCCCAGGATTTTGTGTCTCGGCACCCCGGGGAGCTGAATTTGAATCTGGGATGTTTTTGCGGGCGGCGCTGCCCGGAGCCGCAGCATCCCCGGAGCTGCAGCCGCTGGGCTGTGCTGGCAGCCCCGGATCTGGCGATGACAGTCGGAGCGATCCCTGCGAACGGGGAGGCCTGAAATATTGCGATTTAATGAGGGGAGGGGACGATCTTCGCGGCTGCGTTTCCTGCAGGCTTCCCTGGGAAATATCTGCAGGGGATGGATGCTCCTCTGCCCAGGAGGAAGGGTGCGGTGCCCGGGAATGTGGGGGCAGCCTCGGGAGAGGGGCCTGTGGAGGGGCTTTGCAGAGTGTTTGCAGCACCCCTGGCCCTCCGCGGCCTTTCTGAACCTCGCTGCCTCCTTTTTATTACAAGCTTATAGGTTAGATATGGGCTAAAACAACGAAGCGATCCCGACCCTCCCCAAACCCAGAGCCGCCTCTCAGGTTCGCCTTGGCGACATCCCCATCCTGCGGGATGGGAGAGGCGCCTTCCAGCTCTCCCTTCCTTTATCCCGGGCCAAAACGGCCTTCCCGGGCCAGGCTTGGATCTTGCACGGCTGTTCCTGCCCCGGAGGTTTCCCTGGGCCCGGGGAACCCGGCGGGTCCGAGCCGGGCCAGGAGAGCATCCCGGCGGGGCGGGAGCTGAACTGAGGATTGCCTGAGGATTGAGGATTGCCTGAGGATTGGGGATTGACTGAGGATTGGGAATTGCCTCAAGGATTGGGAATTGCCTCAAGGATTGGGGATTGTTCCCTCCAGCCCCCCGGTCACACGGCGGCTGCCGATCGATGTGGGCCCGGCTGCACAGGGTGGAAGTGATTAATTGAACGATAAGCCGGAGCTATCATTTGGAATGTCATTAATGCGTCGGGGAGACATTCATTGGAGACAGACAGCGTTATCTCCGCTTTATCTTCAACAATGCATCACTTTTAATACTGCAGTTTAGAAACAAATGGGGGCTTTAGCCTTAGCCCTTCTCTTCGTGTTTATATTTTTGGAAGAATCACAACTAGTGGGAGTCCCGGGCTCGGCCCCCTGATAAATGAACATTAGCACTTTTTAGAACTACTGTATCAACAAAAAGAGCTGCAGGGCCGCAATAATTGGTGAAAAAGCAAACACTCCGCAAAGAGAGGCCGGGTCTGCTCTGTGTCCGGCTGATTGATGAATAAGTTACTGACGCACAGCAGCTCACGGACTTTCCGGGTCGGGGCTCAGCGCCCATTCCTCCCCCCTTTCCCAGCCCCTCTCTCCCTTCCCCGGGGCTCTCCAGCAGCCCCCTGAAGCCAGGCTCCGGCTGTCCAGCGGGAGGGACAAAGGCGACAGCTTCCCCCAGCTCCGGACGCTGCTGGCAGCCCGCAGGGTCCTGCCCAGCCCGGGGGGACCCCGAACTCTCCGCATCACTTTGAACTTTTGCGGACTCCTTTTTGTTCGAATTTAAATAACATTAAAAAAATCACGAAAAAACCAAAAACGAGGCAGGACCCCGAGGAGCGCCCTAAACCCCTTTCCGTAGACCCAGGCCCCAGGGGTGTAAGTGCGGGAGATAGGGCGAAAACCCGCTGCTATTTTTTCTGGCTGTCAGAGGAAATGGGGGTGTCCTGTTCTGTCCCCCGCCGGCTTCACTCTCTTTGCAGGTTGCTCTCTCTGTCCCCTGGGGACTGAGCCTGCTCTGGCCTCTCGCAGGCGAGGGTTGTCGTCCACACCCGCTCGTTGCTTCTCTCCTGGGTTGCTGAATGTGATTAATGTTTGGTTTAGTGTGCTTTTGTATTTTTTTTTCTTTCTATTATTTTCTTAAAAAAAAAAAAAAAAAAAAAGGACACAAAAAACCTTTTCTTGCTGAAACCAACCAAACAAAGAGAAAAAAAATTCCCAACCCCGCAATTAGCTGCAGAGGGCACATCCTCTCTCCCTCGGAGCTTTCGACACCTCGGACTGTTTAGAGAGAGAGAGATGGTACCTTTTAAAAAAGTTTTCCTCTTAATCCCAGCCGGTTAAGATGTCCAGGGCCCCCTCCCGTTCTAATTCCTAGCTATCTCCCGAGGACTCTGTTTATACCTCGCCAGTAAACGCTGGGGTTTGAAACCTTGTCACTAATTGAGTGCTAACACTTCAGGTGCTATAGATTTGTTAAGAGCCAGTAGTCCAGAAATAGCCTATTAGGGTTTCCTTGCGAGAACCGGTGCCAATCTGCCGCTTCCCACCGTGGCGCCGGGAGCCGCCGGGACCCCGGCATCTCTGCGGGTCCCCGAGGGCTCCCCAGGGTCCTTCGGGCAGGAATTCTTCCCAAACCATTGGGAAAGGTGCTGCGAACGGGCGAGCCCTGGCTGAATAAATGCTGCCAGGGATGGCCGTGCGTGTCGGGGTCCCACCGGGGCTCCAGGAGGGCGTTTGAGGGCTGGTGGGGACGGCTGGGGCCAGGGAAGGTTTTGCTTTCTCTCCTCTGGAATTCTGCAGAGGGAAAAAAAAAACGCTTTGGAGCTGTCCAGGCACTTCACTTCGCCGCAGCTAAAACCTCCTTTTCTTCCCACATTTTTTTTTTCCTCTTCTTTATTTCCCCCATTTTTAAAAATTGTTTTTTATTCTCTTCTTTCCTCTCTCCTTTCAAACTCTAACGAAGCTCGCCCTTTCCGGCCGTCAGAAAAAGAGTTTGGACTTTGATGCGAGGGGCCGCTGCCAGCCCGGGGCTTCCTCCGGGACCAGCCCGGTACCGGCCAGGGGAGCCAGGTGGCCCTGCCGCTGCCACCACCACCGCTGCCGGGTCGCAGCTCACCCCGCCAGGTTTTTAGGAAATAATCGCGCCCCTTCCCTCCGCGCAAACCGCAGGGACAGCAGCCGGGTGTCAGGGCACAGCACGGAGTGCACAGAGCGTCCCCTGCGCTGCAGGACAGGCGGTGCGGAGCCCCGGGAGCCCCCCGGTTAAACCTCTCCGGTGCTGCCTCGGTTCGGGCAGCCCAGCCCCGCTCCCGCAGCCCGGGGCCGGCCCGGTCGCCTCTTTCCGCCTCTGTCGGTGACTCGGCTGCGGGGACTCGGGCAGGAGGACTTGGAGAGCAAATGCCTCCGTGGAGTTTCCCCTCCTGCCCTGGGCTCCGTGCCTGGAATCTGACAATTCAGCTGCTTCTTGCACCTCGGGTGCTGGAAGAGTTTTCCCCCCGCGGCTGAAGCGAAAGCTGGGAGCTGGGCAGATAAATGAAAAGCTTTAATTCTACCCTGCCTGTAATTTTTTTTTTCCCTACTTGTAACCGTGCTGGGTTCGCTGGTGAGCAGAGGGCGATGGGGGAGTTCTCCGACCTTCCCGTCGCCCTGTCCCCTTCCCCGGGCAGCGGTCGCGTTATTTGCGCTTGTTTCGGACCCGCCGGTTTTCTGCGCTCCTGAAAAAGTTGTTTTAACGCGTCCAGGTAATCCCAAAGCGCTTGTTCGTTATGTTTCCACGAGGAAGCACTCAGGGCAACAGCCATACTATGATTTTTAAGGGGAATTAAACGACCGACGACACTTTGATGTGACAATGCTTTGTCACACGCGTCCCGCGGGCGGGATGTCCAGTGATGGAGACAGGAAAAGTTACAAGAACGAAATACCTTCCGGGCACTGGGAAGTCTGGGCTGCTTCGAAGGACAAAGCTCTAAACACGGCGGGGCTTTGTCCCCATCCGCCTGGCCCGGGCAGAGGGGTCCCAGCGGCTCCGCTGGGAACGGGAGCGCTGCTCGGCCGGGAAGCCCGAAACTGCAGCACGATTTCAGGCTGTTTGCGGCTTGTCTGTCCGCACGATGCT